CCTCCTCCAAGTTCTGTTCCTTTGAACGAGCCTGAAGACGCTACTTTACTGAGCTCTGATGAAGAGATGAATGCTCCTCCTCGTGACTCTACTGATCATCTATTTTCCCGTGGTTTTGATAGTGAAGAATTTGGTCCCGTTTCTGAAAAATTACCCCTTGCTTCTCTTCCAGTGTCAGTCCCCATTCGTTCTTAATCTAACGTTCCGGTCACTGCTGTTGCTGCTCCTCCCGTGGTTGCTTTCACTTCCTCAACCATCCATGTTGCTACTATTTCTCATGTTGAAGTTGGTATTTCTAGTAGCAATAGGATGATGAAAAAGGTTACCACAGAAATCCATGAAGGTGGTAATCTATTGAAAAAAATTTGGTCAAACCGACGTATGGTTGAAACATTTACTTGGCCTAGTTGAGAAGTCAAAGTTGGAAAGCTACAGCTCCTTTACATGGATGAATGATATTGTTCATTTATCTTTGAAGGTTCAAGTCTTAGCTTTTTTCTTTCTTTTCCTCGTAATTATTTACTTTCGTTTGACAGTCGCTTCTTTCTTTTCTTTTGTAGATCAACTTGATAGGCACAGAGCTTATGAAGAGAATTATTCACATTGAGTATCTAGTCAATGATTATCGTACTAAAGCAGATAACTGAAAGGAACAATACGAGGGTCTTCAATTGGAGAAAGATGTTTTAGCTTAAGAGAAGTGTGCTTTAGAACAACAAGCAAGGATGATGGCGATGGAATTGGCAGTTGAAAAAGCCTCTTCAAATCAAGTTGGTAGAGACAAAGACATCCTTGAGTCTTCATTTGCGGAGCAACTTTCAAAAGCTACTGAGGAGATAAGGGGTTTGAAAGAACTCCTTAATCAGAAGGAGACTTATGTCGGGGAGTTAGTTCAAACACTCACTCAGGTTCAAAAAGACCTCTGTGTCTCTTCTGATAAGATCCAACTCTTGGAGAGTTCCCTCGCCCCTTTGAAGGCTTCTTATGATGCTTCTTTGATTGAGAAAGAAGAGTTGAAGGCTGAAATTGATCAATGGAAGAAAGATTACGAAGCCCTTGAAGATAAATCGACACTTGATGTAAATTGGGCTTTTTTGAATACTCGTCTCGAGACTTTGATGGAGGTTAGCCAGAAAGGCTTTGACCTTAATGCTGAGATCGCCAAGGCCAAGGAATCAAATGAAAAAACTCAGCAAAGTCAGAACTTTTTCTCACCTGAGGTCGGCATTCCCGAAGGTGTTAAGCTTACTCTCGGTGAAGTTGGTATTCAAGCTTCTTCTTCTGCTCAAGTTGAATCTTCTCCCGCTCCTGATGATGCCATATTGGATTCTATCTCTCCCGTTGCTGATAATGACATGTTGGATTCTGCCCCTTAGTGTTTTTTTAGAACTTAGTTTGTTTTATGAACTTTTGATGGGGACTTTTTTTTTTACTTTTTGGAATGGTTAGTTAGTTTTTACCCCTGGTTCATTTTGGGGTTTGTTTACTAAACAAGTATTTTGGTTTTAACTAAGTATATGCTCAGTTTTTGCCAAGTTTAATATATGATCTTTCATTTAATTTGAGTTTTTGTTTAAACTCTTTGACTTGCACTTAAAAATGCTTTAATATTTCGTGATTTTGGTATAGACACGAATTTTACAAAAGAGGGCCCTTTTATAAATGACACTAATGAAGAAGACGTCTCGACTTCATATTGGTGTAAATATATGAGAAAGTAGGAAAATACATATTTTGAAGAAGTTTCATGAATAATGTGAGGAAGTTTCACGTTTTGAACTTTCAAATTACATAATACTCTACAAGTATTCAATTTACTTTTTGTACGACATCTACAACTCTTTCATAACTGTTTTTCTTATAACAAACTTCAAAAAATTCTAGGGTATATCTTGCAACCCATGACTAATTATTCCCCATAACCTAAGTACTCGCAAGACCTTGTAAGTTATGTCCGCGAGTTTACACTTAATCAAAGCTTATTACAAAGGTTTTTTGAATCAGGCTTGTTTTTTGGCTCTTGACTTCTTGTTTTTCGGCTCTTGACTTTTGATTTTTGGGCCGATCCAGGCTTGAATTCTGACGTTGTCTTCTTTAGTCCTCTTTGAATTTCAGTGTTCTTTGCCTTCATATCTATTGTCCCCGAAGTGTTAGAGCTTTGAAGTATGAAATCTCGAGCACTTGATTATTCCTTCCATTTGGTCCATTTCTTGAAAAGGAAAATACATACGGTACTCGGAGGTATATTTTTAAATGATGACTGCTTAACCCTTTTTATTTCCATCAGAAATATTGTAACCCAGACCGGGAATAATTTTTCATCTCGCGTATCTTTCAGGTCTAATATCATCATTTGGTGTGGGTTAACTTTGTGTCTATCATATAAAATGGTTAGTATAATTTTAAAAAATGAAACTAAACCATACACGAATGATACCTGACCGGGGGTTCTTCTTTTGCTTAGAAGTGATACTTCTTTAAATGAACAATATTCCAATTTGATGGGAGTGATTTGTCCTCCATTGTTTCTAACTCATATGCACCCTTCCAGATTTTTCACGAATCCTGTAAGGTCCTTCCCAATTCGGACTCAACTTTCATGCATTGGCCGCTTTTGTCGATTAAAAAACCTTTTTGAGGATGAAGTCCCCAATCTTGAAGTATCTAAGATGAGCTTTCCAATTGTAGTATCGCTAAATAATTTGTTTCTGCGCTGCTATCCGTATTAAAGTCGTTTCTCTCATTTATTCAAGCAAATCTAGATTTATTTGCATATCTTCCTCATTTGACTCTTCAGTTGCTTGAGTATATCTTGTACTAGGTTCACCTATTTCGACTAAGATTAAGGCTTCAACACCATACACAAGTGAGAATGGAGTCTCTCCCATACCTGTTTTTGTTGTCGTTCGATAAGCCCATAAGACTCCCGGTAACACTTCTGGCCAATTACCTTTTGACTCCTCTAATCTTTTCTTCAAGTTATTAATAATAACTTTGTTTGTCGATTCGGCTTTTCCATTAGCTATCAGATGGTAAGGTGTTGAAGTTATTCTTTTAATTTGCCAACTCTAAAAAAATTCTGTAATTTTTGCACCTATGAATTGCGCAGCATTATCACATACAATTTTTTTTTGGAACTCCGAACCGGCATATGATGTTTCGCCAAATAACATCCATGAATTCTTTTTCCCGCACCTGTTTGAAGGCACCTACTTCTACCCACTTGGTAAAATAATCTGTTAAAACTAATAGAAATCGTACCTTCCCTTTGGCTTGTGCTAGTGGACCCACTATATCCATTCCCCATTTCATAAAAGGTCATGGTGAAGTAGCCGGATGTAATAGCTCCGCTGGGCGATGCATGTTGTTTCCATATCGTTGGCATTTGTCACACTTGGCCATAAAACTTTTCGCATCTTCCTCTATTTTTAGCCAATAATATCCTGCTCCAATTAGAGTTTTTACCAAGGATCTTCCTCTTACATGATTTCCACAATGTCCCTCATGTACTTCTCTCATCACATATTCTGTTTGAGAAGATCCGAGACATCTTGCTAAAGGTACTCCGAATATTTTTCAATACAGGTGCCACGAACCAAACAATAACGGGCAGCTTTCCGTCGAAGTGGTTGAGCCTTTTTCTTGTCTTCAGGTAAAATCCCGTACTGCAAGAAATTAACGAAATCGTTTCTCCAATCCCAAGTTAAATTATTGAAATTTACCTCATTTTTATCCTGATCGAGTGCCGAATGAAACAAACATATTACGGTAGCATTTTCTTCATTTGTTATTCTGTAACAGATGCGAGATTAGCCAACATGTCTGCTTCCGCATTTTCCTCCCTTGGTATTTGCACTATTTTCCACGATTGGAATTGTTTGATTAATTCTCGTGCCTTTTCCAAACATTGTTGCATCCTTGCCTCTCTAGCTATATAAGTCTCCTACATTTGATTGACTACAAGTTGCGAGTCACTTTTGATTATAATTTTCTTTATTCCAAGTTCTCATGCCAATTCCAAACCTGCAATTACAGCTTCATATTCTGCTTGATTATTAGTAATGGAATGGCACTTTATTTCCTACCTTATGGTTTCTACTGAAGGTAGGATTAGAACAATGCCTAAACCTGCCCCTTTAACAATTGAGGAGCCATCAGTAAATACGGTCCAAGTACCCAAATTAGATCCGGTGAATACTTGTAATTCCTTTTCCGCTTCAGGAACTATCCCTAGGCGCACAAAATCTTCTAAAACTTGTGATTTTATCGTAGTTCTAGGTTGGTACATGATATCATATTCATTGAGTTCTATAGCCCATTTGGCTAATCTACCAGACAGTTCTTGTTTATGCAATATATTCCTTAAGAGGTAAACGGTCACTACAGAGATAGGGTGACATTGAAAATAAGGCCTCAACTTTCTAGATGTCATGATTAGTGCTAAAGCAAGTTTTTCTAAATGAGGATATCGAGCTTCAGCATCCAATAAAGATTTGCTAACATAATAGATTGGAGATTGTTTACCTTTGTCTTCACATACTAACACTGCACTTACCGCCATTTCTGATACAGGAGATAGATGAGTAGCCTTTCTCCATCCTTCGGTTTAGCTAGCAACGGTGGGTTTGACAAGTATGCTTTTAGATTTTTGAGTGCTTGTTGACATTCATCGGTCCACTCAAATTGCTTTTGCTTTTTCAGCACTGAAAAAAACTTAAAACTTTTCTCCAAAGATTTAGAAATAAATCTTCCCAAAGCTGCTATCCTACCTGTCAGCCTCTGCACCTCTTTTTTGCTCATGAGTATGTCTTGTATTTCTTCAATGGCCTTGATATGTGCAGGGTTTACTTCTATACCTCGGTTAGAAACAAGAAAACCTAAAAACTTACCCGAAGACACGCCAAATTTCAGGATTTAACTTCATATTGAATTTGCGAAGAATCTGATAAGTATCTGACAAATGTTGGACATGATCCCTCGCCTGTGCTGACTTGACTAGCATGTCTAATAGAGTCTCATCACAGAATGGCATTCCAGCTTCATCAACTAATAGAGTCTCATCACAGAACGACATTCCAGTTTCATCAGCTAATAGTGTCTCGTCACAAAATGTCATTCCATCTTCATCATCTAATGGAGTCTCTTCACAACCAACTACACGTAGATGAGTTACAGATGACTCGGAGCCTCGTGATTAGGTTGTCGATGTTATAGGTACATATAAATTAAAAATGATTTTGTTTTCCTCGATTAATATTTTTATATGTTTTTTATTTTGTTGCAGATAAACATCAAATGATAAAATCTATTAGGTTGAAGGTTCAGGATGTCCATAACTTGGAGAATGGATCGCGTATAATTGTAGAATGTGATAAGCTTGCTCAACCTATTGGAAAATAAGCAGGCCTTCTTGCAGGATTTTTGGGGCAGCTTGCTACAAATCCTCGATATTTTTCTATTGGCTTCGAGAGTTGGGCATCCATGCCTAAAACTTTTGTGGACCGTGCTTTTAATGATTTCGTAATGCTAATGCCTTTTAATTCTTTTGCTTAGTTTGTATGTTATAGTTCTATCAGTAGTAAACTAACATATATTATTTTTATGAAGTCTCGGTTTTTCTTTACGAGTGATCAACAAAAGGTAAAAAGTTGGATTAACAATTTGCTTAACAAAAAGTGGAAGGAATTCATGCTTAAACTATGGCATGAGGCTGAAGATCCATTATTGAGTAAAGAAGATATCATCAGGAATGCTCCAGAAGGCATTCCCATGTATCAATGGGCATTGTATGTTAACTATCATTCAAAAGAGGAAACAAAGGTTCTTCTTCTTCTTCTTCTTCTTCTTCTTCTTCTTTCACTACTTGTCTCTGCTGCTGTTGTTACTTCTATTTTCTTTTCCCTTTTTTGTTTCGCTGCTTCTTCTCTGCCACTGTTGTGGCTTCTTTTTTTCCCTTTTTTGTTTTGATTAATACAACTGGGCCCCTATCAACAGATTCGAGGACAACAAACACTTCCCCGTACTAGTGGTGCTATGATTTTGGTTAGAAATAGGGCTTTGATAGTAGTTTAATACGACGTACGTACTGTCGCTTAAATGTGACAAGAGTTATTTAGTTTAATTTTACTTTATAAACCTTTCAGAAGAAACAGGGAAAAGAAGTTGATCGCGACAAAGTGTGGACTGAGACTCATAAGAGGAAATATGAGAGTTATGTGAATGATGAAGCTAGGAAAATTGGGGTAAGTATCGATCACTATTTTCTGCTTTCTTCTTTTACTTTCCTGTTAGTGGGAAAATGCCACAATGTTCTTGTTGAGGCAATAATTGATCATTAAATTGCCTAGTAATGTAAAACAACCGATGATCACATCATCTTGGAACTTGTTATAAGTTATTTTTCTTACGTATATGTGGCCCAATAGGTTTAATGCCCATAATTAATATTTAATTAATTATCAAATCTCATCTGTCCAATCGGTTACTTGATGGACGCACTAGATTAAGTGAGACTCTATAAATTGGTCTTCTCCCCACCCATTAGGATTACCATATTTTTTATTTCTTTCTTCCATCATTAAAAGCAGCGGTAACGTAAAGTTAGGGCAAGGGACGAGAAACAAATTTACAGATTAACGCTTCCGCTTCAGGTATATTTTCTGTAACAATTTTTTGTGTAAGATTACCATGTGCAAGATCATGGTATGCAATTAAAAGTTCATGTCTACCATGTGGTATCATGAGCATGGAATTTGAACTAATAATCTTCAATTAAAGAGATTAATTTCAAAACATACCGAGAGAAAGAATCTGGTCGAGCTAATGATGTCCATCCTCTTTTAATATTCTTTTAGGTTTCTGTTATGTCTCAATTGTACATACTGTAATACTGATAGTGATAGTTGTATGTCTACATATAAAATACTGATAGTGATAATTGGATAATCCTTAGAACGATGTACATGGCCCTTTGCAGTTTCTTTGTAGCTATGTTGCCATTCTTTGGTGACATTAACGACGTTGTAGGAGCCATTGTTTTTATACCTCTTGATTTTGTTCTCCCAATGCTACTTTACAACATGACTTTCAAACTAAAGAAGTCATCTATTACCTTTTAGATAAATACTTCTATAATGGTTGTATTCTCTGGTGCTGAACTTCTAGGATCTTTTTCTTCTATAAGGAAGTTAGTTCTAGATGCCAATAAGAATATAAGTTATGATATTAGAAGATAACGGTTGTATTGATGTGCAATAATTTGATGATACATGAGTAACATTAATGATGCCTTAATGTCATAAGTTGATTTGAAATTAGTTATTTTTTCTTGGGTTGTATAGTAACCTGTTTTGGGTTATTAGGTTGGTAACACTATTATTGTTTATTTTATGTATGTGATTAATGTGTATATAGTTTGTTAGTCACCAAAGTGACTAAACTAGATTGTTTAAAGTATTCACATGCATAAAATCTTATGATCTCTATTTTATGTGTGCACTTATGTTATATAGTTTATTAGTCACCAAAGTGGCCAACCTAGTTTGATTATGAAAATATGCATAGACAAAATTATAGTTTATCCATGAAATTAATAAAATGCATATAATTAAAAATTAGTGGATAAATTAATTTTCACTATTACTAGAACTTAAGGATTTACCCAAATGTTAATTAATTATTCTATGAATAGTGAATATAATAAGGTAAATTAATATTCTTAGTCAAATATATATTGTCTGTCCAAAGATGACATATATATTTAGTTAAAAATATTTAATTACTTATTAAAGACTAAATGGCACTTAAATTATGATAGTGTGTCGTAGTATTTACCCAAAGGATAATTGCGATATGCTTTAACTGTTTTGTTGAATCCATATTGATTTGTGAGCATGTATTATTTATTTTGCAGCTATTCCTTTTCATTTGCATGCTTCATCTATTACTGTGTTCAACAGATTGAACTTCTTTGAATGGTGTGAACAAGCCCAGTTCCACTTAGGCGTGATAGATCTTGACTTGGCTCTACTTAATGATAAGCCCGCTGCCATTACTAATTCGAGTAGTGCGGATAAGAAGTCTTTCCATAAAGCATGGGAACGCTCTAACAGGCTAAGCCTTATGTTTATGTGAATGAATATTGCCAACAACATTAAGAGTACTATTCCGCAAACAGAAAGTGCCAGGGAATATCTGAAGTTTGTGGAAGAACGTTTTCATTCAACAGATAAGTCTCTTGCTGGTACACTAATGGCTAAACTCACAACCATGAAGTTTGATGGGTCACGTAGTATGCAAAATGATATTATCGAGATGACTAACATTGCAGCAAGACTCCAGACCTTGGGAATGAAAGTTGATAACTCGTTCTTGGTTCAGTTTATTCTGAACCCATTGCCTCTTGAGTATGGACCTTTTCAAATTAACTATAACACTATTAAGTATAAGTGGAATGTTAGTGAATTGTCCAGTATGCTTATTCAGGAGGAGTCAAGACTTAAGAAACAAGGGAGTCATTCAATTAACCTCATGGGTCAAGGATCTAGTAAAGGACTTAAAGTGAAGGCCAACAAGTTCAAGAAGAAGAAAGCACCTGCTAAAGATCCACAGGATACTAAGAAGGATCATAAGGCAAATACATATCGTTTCTGTAACAAGGAAGGACATTATCAGAAAGATTGCTTGAAACGTAAAGTTTGGTTCGAAAAGATAGGTACAATCAGTGCTTTTGTATGTTTCGAATCAAATTTAATAGAAGTTCCTAATAATACTTGGTGGCTTGATTCTGGCGCAACCGCTCATGTATCTACTACGTTGCAGGGATTCCTTACGATCCAAACTACAAATCCAAATAAGGATTTCTTGTTCATGGGAAATCGTATGAAGGCTCCAATTGAAGGCTTAGGGACTTAACGTTTGATCATGGAGACTGGACGTCACCTTGATCTATTATAGACTCTTTATGTACCTTCCTAGGAATTTGATTTCTCTTTCAAGACTTGATGTTTCTGGATTTGATTTAAAGTTTGGAAATGGATGTTTCAATTTATATAAGAATGCTATTTTTATGATTCTGGTTTCCTTAGTGATGGTTTATATAAATTGAAACTCGATATTGGTTTTTCTAAATCCCTTCTTACTGTTCAATATAATGTTGGAATTAAACGTAATTCACTAGATGAAAGTTCTACTTACTTGTGGCATAGACATTTGGATCATCTATCTAAAGAAATGTTAGAAATATTAGTAAAGAATGAGATTCTTCAGAATCTAAATTTTACTGATCTTACTATATGTTTGGATTGCATTAAGGGAAAGCAAACCAAGCATAGTAAGAAAGGTGCCACAAGAAGCACTCAACTTCTTGAAATTATACACACCGATATTTGTAAACTTTTTGATGTTCCATCTTTAGGTGGATAAAATTACTTTATCACTTTTATCATTACTTTTTCACGTTATGGATACATCTATTTGCTGAAAGAAAAATCTCAAGCAACCGATGCTCTCAAAGTGTTTGTTAATGAGGTTGAAAGGCAATTAGATAAAAAGTTAAAAATTATTTGGTCAGATAGAGGTGGTGAATAATATGAAAAATATAATGAATCAGGACAATGTCTAGGTCCATTTGCAAAGTTCCTCGAGAAACATTGCATATGTGGACAATATACTATGCTAGGAACACCTCAACAAAATGGTGTTGCAGAAAGGCGTGATCGAACACTTATGGATATGGTTGGGAGCATGATAAGTAATTCCTTATTACCCAAATCATTATGGATGTATGCTCTTAAAACGACTGTATATTTATTAAACAGGGTTCCTAGTGAGGTAGTTCCAAAGACCCCTTTTGAACTATGGACAGGAAGGAAACCTAGTTTAAGGCACATGTATGTTTGGGGTTGCCCATCAGAAGCTAAAGTTTACAATCCATAAGAAAAGAAATTAGATTCTCGAACAGTAAGTGATTACTTTATTGGTTACCTATAGAAATCTAAAAGGTATGTGTTTTACTGTCCAAATCATAGTTCGAGAATTGTTGAAATCGGTAATGCAAGATTCATTGAGAATGATAAAGTTAGTGGGAGTGTTGAAAAGCAAAGTGTGAAAATTAAAGAGGCGAGGGCCAATATTCTATTACCCAAGAATGTGCCTACTTCCACACAAATACCAAATATTATTCCAGTTGTTGAAGAACACTTTGATAACACTGATCAACATTTGGATGAAACGCTTCATGAAGAAACTAGTTCACAAATATCTGACACAAATGAACCACAAGAAATGCCATTAAGAAAATCTCAAAGAGTTAGAAAATTGGCTATTTCAGATGATTGTGTGGTTTATTTGCAAGAGTCAGATTTTGACATTGGTCTTAATAAGGATCCGGTTTCATTTTCAACAGCCATAGAGAGTAATGAGTCTAAAAAATTGATTGATGCCATGAAAGAAGAGTTAAAATTCATGGAATACAATAAAGTCTGGGATCTTGTTGATTGCTAGAAAGTTCTAAAAGAATCAGGTGTAGATGGGTCTTTAAGACCAAACACGATTCAAATGGCAATATTGAGAGATACAAAGCCAGACTTGTTGCCAAGGGTTATACTCAGAAAGGAGGCATTGATTATAAAAGAGACTTTTTCACCGGTCTCAAAGAAAGACTAGGTAAGAATTATTATGGCTTTGGTGGCTCATTATGATTTAGAGTAACACCAAATGGATGTGAAAACTGCCTTTCTTAATGGAGATCTTGAGGAGGAAGTTTACATGGACCAATTAGAGGGTTTCGAAACTAAATAAAAATGTCAAATGTTGTGTAAACTAAGGAAGTCAATATATGGACTTAAACAAGCCTCACGATAATGGTATATAAAGTTTAATGATACCATAAAGTCTTTTGGATTTGTAAAAAATACTGTTGATCGGTGTATATACCAAAAGATCAGTGGGAGCAAGTTTATATTTTTAGTCCTATATGTTGATGATATCCTAATTGCTGCTAATGATTTAGGCATATTGCGTGAGATTATAGATTTTCTCTCTAAGAATTTTGAAATGAAAGATATAGGTGAGGCATCCTATGTGATAGGAATAGAAATATTTCATGTTAGATCATAAGGATTACTGGGATTGTCTCAGAAGGCTATACCGAAATAGTTTTAGAGAGATTTAAAATGAATAACTGTTCAACAAGCATTGTCCCAATTCAAAAGGGGGACAAATTTAGTCTCATGCAATGCCCTAAGAATGATGTAGAACGAAAAGAAATGGAATCAATTCCTTACTCTTCTATTGTTGGTGGTATGATGTATGCTCAGACTTGCACAAGACCAGATATTAGTTTTGCGGTCGGAATATTGGGAAGATATCAGAGTAACACAAGAATTGATCATCGGAAAGCTGCAAAGAAAGCTTTGAGGTACTTAAAAGGAACGAAGGATTACATGCTCATGTATAGGAGATCCAAGCATTTGGAAGTTGTTGGATACTCGGATTCAGGTTTCACTGGATATATTGACACTAGAAAATCCACGTTTGGTTATTTGTTTCAATTAGCTGAAGGAGCAATATCGTGGAAGTGTGCCAAACAGTCTGTCATTGATACATCCATGATGGAAGCAGAATTTGTGGCATATTTTGAAGCCACAATTCATGCATTATGGCTGTAAAACTTTATTTCAGGACTTGGGGTTGTTGACACCATTACCAATCTGCTGAAAATTTACTGTGATAATTCTGCAGCAATATTCTTCTCCAAGAACGACAAGTACTCCAAATGTGCCAAACATATGGAATTAAGGTACTTTACCGTCCAGGAGGAAGTTTAGAAACAAAGAGTGTCACTTGAGCATGTTAGAACACATCTCATGATTGCAGATCTGTTAACGAAAGGTTTACAACCAAAGATATTTAAAGTACATGTACATAGAATGGATCTTGGCTGTATTTATGATTGATGTATTTATGATGTTTTGACATTCTGAGCTCATTTATGTGTTTCTGATATACATTAGTAATTTCCTATTTCTCATAATGGATGACGCATTATTGTTTTGAGATATTACAGGATAAGTGTCACGACCCTAAACCCCAAACCCGGTTGTGATGATGCCTCTCCTGAAGACAAGGCCAGCCGACACTTCCCATTCCCAATTATTAACAGTTAAACCATAAGAAATAAATCTAAAGCATGATAAGATAATCTAAAGTTAACAGATGTAGCATAATTCGCGGAAAATAACCCAACACAGCCCGATACCGGGGTGTCAGTAGTCATGAGCATCTAACAAAACGGAATACTCCAAATCAAACTACAAAGTTTAATACAAAAAACCAAGAACATGAAGAAGTAAGATAGGGAAGAGCTCCGGGCTGCGAACGCCAACAACTACCTAGAGACTCCTCGGATCCGCCTGAGCCGAAATGATCAGCACTAGGGAACGGGACCAGATATGCCTGAATCTGCACACAGGGTGCAGGGAGTAAAGTGAGTACTCCAACTCAGTGAGTAATAATCATAAATAAAGACTGAAAGCAGGAAATCACGTAAGGCACGAAAACATGCTATAATGAAACAGTGAAAACCCTTTTAAAACAGTAAACCAGTGAAAGATAGGTAAAAATCCTTTAACTCAAATTTAACTTCCTGAAAAGCCTTTTTCAACAATTAAGCAGGTAATTGACAGTCAATTATGAAAAATAAACACATAAGGGTTCACCCCTCGGGCACAGTATCAACAAATCCGCCCATCGGGCAACATCTCAGAACAGTACCAGCCCCCCGGGCTATCACATAGAACAATACCAACCCATCGGGCTCAATCTCACATCACAATGGGTACCCGCGCTCACTGGGGGTGTACAGACTCCTAGAGGGGTCCCTTACGACCCAAGCGTAATATCAATCCACCTCGTGGCATCATCACTAGGCCCTCTGCCTCATATTAATCAAGTCACCTCGTGGTGTACATATCTCAAGCCCTCAGCCTCATAATCAGTATCAAATGTTTCCTCACAACATAGGCCCTCGGCCTTACTTAGTCAAAAATCCTATTCTGGATTCTAGGAACATGCTGGAATTCCATCTTCGTGAACCTCTTTCTCAATTCCTGTACATGATGCAGATACGGGAG